AAAGGAAAACTTAAGACGTTAATGGACATAATTAAGTTCTACATCATGGGTATAGATAAGAAAGTTTTCATCCAGTGGCTGTTGCCTCACACATCGTACCAGTAGTCCCTGCTAAGCTAAGCAAGCATGAAGGTCACGAAAGGAGAGGTACACAGCACTAAGACAGAATGAAATGTTGCAGCTGGGATTGTGTACCCATTCTGCACAATATCTTTACATACCGGCAAGGCCATTAAAAGGATCCTATTAATGGAGTTTGGCGCCAAAATTGAAATTATTATTCCGAAGAACATTTCAGCTAATATCTGCATTATGACTTGCTTTTGGTCATTTATCATATCGGTATTTCAAGTGTTTATTATGTTCGAAAGGTGGCCAATACCGTATGTTGAACTAGTCCCGTACCTTGGACCAAACTCCAGCTTTTCAGCACGTTCTTACGGCACAATGACGTCAGATGTGTACTTTGTGAAATTGCCAGGCAATGTAATGAGGTAGATTCAACTTACTTTGAGAAGGAATGAACAAAACATTGACTTTCTGCTTGTTTCAATCCTACAATAGGCCCCAATAAATCCGCATTCAATATTGCTTTTTATGTTTATTTGTTCCACAATATTTCCATTCTCAACTTAACCTCGACGCAAGGCTACTTTTAATTTTAATTGCAGGCGTGTAACCGTTTACATCCCCTTCGGGACGCTAGACTTTTGTCTGTTCAACCTAAATGTCAGATGATAATAAAAAGTCACCTGTGTATTGTTTTCATCAAAATACAAACGTCTGTAATGATACTAATTACACCTTAAACTTTTCCTCAGTGTCGATGCAGCTACACACACACACACACACACACATACATACACACACACACATACATACACACACACACACGCACACACACACACACACACACACACACACACACAAACTGACAATATTCCCTAATTAAATTCAACAACGTTGTTAGCCTGGGTGCCATCCGATTTGTAACGGCAACCCCGAGAAAATTCTTTCAGGGTTACCGTTACAAATAGGATGGCACCCAGGCTACAAAAGTGGCACTCTGATAAGGACAACCAGGCCAACCAGGATCTTTGTAAAAATTGAAACAGACAAACCGGCCATTGGCACGTTTCCTAGTTTTCTGTGGCAAATAGAAGATAAACGTCTTGTGATATTAATACTACTGGCGAATGTTTGAATATGTGAGCTCTAACACCAATGAAGGCTAAGACACATTCTTGACAACAGTGTTATGAATAGTATTCCGTCCCTCAGAGTTAGTATTGGTAGTGATCGTAGGTCCGCGAAGTCACTAGTGAGGTAAGCAGCACTTGAAGTGGTGAGCTCAGGGTCACAGCGAGGGATGTCAGACGTGAAGGCCGAGGTATTGCTTGTTCCGTAAGACACCGGGTGGAATGACCGTACGAGTATCCAAGCACCGCTGAGACACACCGGAACCGTGACACGTCTGGAGCTTCTTCTTTCTAAAGAAAAATAAAAATAAACAAAGAAACAAAAGATCAAGAAACGATGATCAGAATAAGAAAGCAAATATTGATATTGATTTTACAATTTGCAAACTTGAGTCTGAAGGCTAATAGGACAGTTACTGTATGTAAAGCTAGAGGTAAAAAGTTTAGTCTATAGATCTATATGGTGTCTCTATGTACATTACTGAGGGGTTTATATTAATAACTTATATGTCATAAATGATCAGGTGTGTAACATTTCTGCAAATACGTTGTTACTGCTGTGAAATGTCGATAGACAAAACTGTAAAATTACAGTAGAAAAATCGAAGTCGTAGGCGGAAGCGAAGCCGTCCCAGTTGTATACTGAAGGCGCTATGCTTATAAACCCGAAGGGCAAGATATAATTGAACTTTGCAATAATGCTGATCTAGCGCACAAGGACGGGTACTAAACAAATTTACTTCATGGGTGAAAACCACTGAAAATTAACAAACATTGAGAGTTTTAATCAATACTAAGGTTAACAACAAGTGACCAAAGAAGAGGGGACAGAGTGGTCTCATCACTTTCATTATGGCTATTGTCTACTACATGCACTTCTTAGTCACGAATTTCGCATTGCCTTCCTATCGGAGTTTTATAAAGATTAGACATCGCTAGCTATATAACATTCGATTGTAGCTCTTAGAATGTCAAAGAACGGACCAAAGGGACAATGAATATCAAGGAGAACAAACTAAAAGTTGAATTAAACTTGGTTGAAAAGGAAAGGGATGAAGAAGTAAGAGTGTAGCACGCCATCTTCATTTAAACGGTACTCCCTGAAGGGAAAGCTGAGCGAGACTCAGTGGTTTTGCCTTTGCCCAACAATTTTAATCATTCTCTATGTAAATATATCAGCTAGCGCCGGCTTACACTATAAATATTGGAAATAAAATGGGGCCACGTTCATCTAGAGAAAGTACGATCTAAGACAAATCACAAACTTGTGTAAAAGACGCGGCGTTGCCCACTGCATTTTTCATGTTGCAAAGATCATGAACGATATGTGAACACACGGTGGAACGGAAGCCACATTGAATCTGTGGTTAAAATGTATCATTTTACAGACTTCGGCAGTTTTACTTGTACAGTCAACCTGCTGCACAAGGGACTACCTCTACATAAGGACCACCTGGCCTAATCTCCAAGCAGATCCCTTTCGGTGGCAAGACAGTATCCATTAGCCTGAGAAGTTTTGCCGGCCACCAAAGGAGATTACACCTGGCCAATGTGGCTACTTTTTGTGGATAATTTTTGGCCTAATTTTTCCCATTGCCAAAGGAATCCTGTTAGCCGTCCACCTAGACCAAATTTCATAGGTCCCATGCCCATTAGTGGTCTTCTTAGACTGTTTTCCCCGTACTTTTCCACACACATCTACATGCTGGTTATGTATGGCAGCAGGCCCGGTCCCAGGTCCCAACAGTCGGCCGAAGAGAACTGGTCAGCAGGTCCTGGTCGGCAATGAACATCCGGGACATTCACAGGTGGTTGTCGTTTTTTCGGAGATTCTCATTTACAAATTCCCCTGGTCTGGATGCTTTTTTGCGTCAACTTATGCTGATTCCTTATATTTTCTGAATACCAATAGTGAATACCAGTATCATGGAAACATGTATGACTGAAAACACCCCGTTAACGTTAGCATTCTTAACTGTTTTTTAGTTGGGGGGGGGGATTATTTTTTGCTGATGGTTTATTTGTACTCGAGCTCGGATTCTTGTACTTGCAAACTGAAAAAAGTGCATGATAAAAAAGCCCCTCCCCTCAAAAAGCCCCAGTCCGTTGTTACTGTGCAGTTTGTGGTGGCCAGTGGTTACACTCGCTTTCACCCCCTTTCACTGGTGAAATTAACTTTAAAAACTGCTAACGAAAAAAAATAAATAAATAAAGGCACTTAGGTTGACGTCCATACACATCAATAGTTATCTTGGTATAATTTTTATCTTGGAGATTTTAGACTTCCGGGAAGTAGATGCAATTCTCGGCTTTTTTAATTGTCGACCAATTCCTACTACCTCCTACCAGATTCTTGAGACCTTTCACCTTTTGTCATTCTGCCTGTCATCTTCCCCACCCACGTACTGCCAACCTACCCTGTCCGGACAGACAGACACACAAACCCACAGCTCAGCCACCCCAACAACACCCAAGTACCCAGCAGTAACAAGCAAGAACAGAAAACGGAGGCTATAGGTGACAGGTTTGTACGGTCAGTGGGACAACTATTCCTAGATTGGGCTTATTCCCCCTAATTTTGTTTCCGAGCTAACACCTGTCACTCACAGGAACCCACGGCCCTTCTTCTGCTCCAGACCACAGAGGAACTTCCTGTCTAGGGTGGACTTAATTTCCCTGTGGGCCTTTAGGTTTTATGAGAAACATCTTTCGAGTAGTCCTTCCCTTTGCCCTGGGGGCAGATATACAGCTCCTTTTTAGAACACCCACTTCACTGTGTCAGATGTCAGCATCTTCGCTATACATCCTGCAACTATGGAACTCTTGCAATTTCCACTCAACAAACGTGCGAACTGACTTCGGAGGTATATTTGTCTCAGGTCGACGTCTTTGTCTTCTTCTTTACTTCCCACCTAATACCTGGTGGTCACACCGATCATCGCGAATGGCCTGTTTGCATCAATGATATAATTTTCTGTTGACGTAACATATTCATTCTACTATTTCCCATGTAGTATCAGTCTTAGTTACCCAACAGTGACCTCCTCCGTCAGTACCATATAGTGCGCGTGTTTGGGTGGCTGAGCCCGTGGGTTTGTCCAGGCCTGTGTCCAGAGTAGCTTGACAGCATGTGCATGTGCGTGGGTGAAAAATGAGAGGAGGTCAAAGGTCTTAGAATCTGACTGGGAGCCAGCAGGGGTGTAGTGGGGGTATTCCCTAACCACAGACTATAAATGGGTGAGACACAGGATGCTACATGTAGGTTCCGGAAGTTGTCCGAAAGCCGGTGGGAAGTTGGCTGGAAGTCATCACCAGGAAGCTCAGGCCAGCATCCCTGTCAGAGCAAACTGTGCGGACCAAACCTTTTCCTTTCCCTAATTAACGAACAAATCCCGCTTTTCCTTTGAAACTAACTAGATATTTGCGCTAGCGCTGTTGACATCGATTCGTACCTATTCCCATGCCCTATCAACCCAAAGTTGTTTTCGGTAGGGCAAGTGGTTGTTCGTTTGTTTATCGTGCCGTCACATTTCTGCAGTAGTTCATCTGATCATCATCATCATCATCATATTCGCCGCTATAACCTTATTAATTTCAAAGGATTGTTTTTATCTCGGCTATAATATTTTGCGTTATGCCATTCAATAGCTCAAAGAAGTTTTATTGCTCTGTGACAGGGCCAGTCAACCAGTTCCCAAGGAAAAATTAACTCATGAAAAGTATCTAGCTACTTCCTCATCCTCATCGGTTATGCCCCTGGGGCGTCGCCAAAGATTACATTACTAGAATGTTATTCTCAATGTTGCAAAACTCTGAGAATGAGCCGGATCCTGACATCTGCTTGGAGATTTCGGAGTAGTCTCGACCGTTGAGCATCGCGCATGTGCAAGTCACTATCCTCTCAGGGTAATGACCGGCATGACCGGAGTGTCACTGACCTTACATAAGCTGGTTTAATCTGTTACCTAGCCCCACGGGGATCAGAAAACTAAACCATGGAGGGAGGAAGACGCCAACACCAAATGTAAGTAGTTCCATTGACTCCTGAGCCCAAAATCAAAGTTCTCTGTAAAGTTCGACTTTTGGGGTCATCTGTAGCCACGTGATAAGCCTTGTTGTGAGAGTTCGGGAATGTTTATGGAAGTTCAAGCTTGCAGGTTCGACAAAATTTCTCAAACCTTGTTTGTGAAAGCAGTTTGCCGTGCTGTCACTGTCACTTTTTTCCCGACCCCAAAAATTATGTTTTGTCCGGACACCATCTCTTTCAGCTGTCGTTAGACAAAGACCTTACACGTCTGCAGTAGTGAGTATAACGTCCTTGAAGTAGGATACAAAAACAACGTTTGCCAACCAAGTATTAGTTCTTTCCGTTTGTTACAGCGATCAAAAGATGTTGAGAAAAACAAGCCGTGCTTGTCAGCAAACGTGTCTCTCATTAATTTGTACCCCCCTCCCCATTCCTCCAGGGAGATGAGCCACAAACGAAAACAAATGGGTTATAGCTCTGGATTGTAGCAAGTTTGTGGCGCAGTGTGAAAATTGTGTCACGTAGGTAAGTGGCCCCTAAATTCCTTTACATGTGATTGTGTGCTAAGAACAAGCTACATGTCATGTATAACCTTCAAGTTTGGATTTTTACCTCCATGCAACAAGGTAGGAAAATGTTAGCCTGGATGCCAGACCCATGGTTTCATCGCCAAACAGGCCAGCACAGCTCCAGGGCCAAAAATGTTCTGGGGGCATGTTGGCGCTGGAGCTGAAGAGCTGCCCTGTGTTGACCCTGGAAACAGTCTGGCATCCAGGCTAGGAAAATGGTAACCTCCACCTTTTCTTTGGTCCATATTCCCTCACAGTTACCTACTGCACAGTTGGAGTTGGAGTTTTTGGACACTCTTTATGTCATCAGCATGCAATGCAAGGGATGACTTTGCTGAGTTTGTTTTGCAGTTTGCTTTGTGTAAGTACACCTGATATTGCCTCCCCAGAGCTGTTTTTTGTTTGTTTTGCTAGCACCATTCCTGTTGTTAATAATCCTATCTGTCATTCTCTCATGCTCCCCAGTGTAGTATTTTTTTCACTGATTACCTGACCACACTTGTGCAGAGTAATGTAATGCCTTCACTTATCCTTATCTTCAGATTATAATCACATTATGAAGCATAAATTATACAACTAATTTGCATAAGTTATACCAAAGATATATATGATGAAATAAGCCTTTTGAGACCCAAATATTGAGAGAAGGGGTCAAGCATTATTTGCTTAATTTTGCTTTTCTTCTGACTACATTTAACTTACAAACCAGGTCAAGACATGGTATTGCCAGAGGTAAGTTGGTAACTGAACTCTAGTTTAACTGTTATGGCTAAGGTCCCCAGCTCACACCCTCTCCAGGCAATTCACTTTTGTTATTAAACAGTTGGTTTTCCAAAGCTTTTATTCACCAGTCTTGAGTTGCTTCCATCACTGACCTATGCCCATTCCTCAAGACCTTAGTGTCATGGGGCAGGTCTGTTAAGTGGCAAGCAAGGCCTAATTGGCCACCTCTCTGCCAAACAGATCTCTCTTAAGGCCAGGCCATCTATATCAGTGCTCTGGGCATGGTCATATAGACCAGACTATGACACTTTAGGACCAGGCACTTCACTTCTTGAACATTGGTTTAGTGTACCGTTGCAGGTATCTTGTTTAATTGATCATCACTTCAGAAGGCATGGCAACAATGTACAAGAGTGTAACAGGTGGTCTCAGTTTTAATAGTGGCAAAGAAGTAGAGCGAGGACATTTGAAACAGTGAAGAGTGGCAGTATTGTCTACTCTATGGCCCACAGGGGCTCCATTGGCTCCAGGATGGACAACAATTATTAACACTTTTCAGATTGAGTTGGTCTGATTTAGCACAGCTGCTGAGCTCTCTAACCACCTATGAACTCATCAGTGGGAGGTATATTTCTGGCCTATGAAAGGCCAGCAGGGTCAAGCGGGGAGTCAAGGTCCGACCATTCCACTGCCACCAGAAAGTCTCCAGTCATCCGTCATCATTTTTAGTCACATTTCAGGGAATCTTAACCCCTGCAAAGGGTTGACATGGTCCTAGCTGGGGAATTAGAGTGTCAACCCCCGGGCCAAAGGTTTCCCAATGCCATGGCCTAGTGTCATCCAAGGTCTTCATGGCTGGCCATCCATCAGAGGATGGGAGGGTGTTAAATTGGGCTGGACCTCACAAACTCCCCATCATAAAGTTGGGTCCTATATAGCCTCCTTAGCAGGCTCGCTCTGTGACTGGGGCATTTTTGTGGCTTTTGTAACACATTTTTTCTTGTGCCATATCACTTCTATTTGTGGTAGTGTTGTACATTGGGCTGGCCCTAGAACAAGAAGTGCAAACAGAAGTGATATGCTGCATCATATGCCATATGCCAAGAAAAAGTAGTTACATTAGTCCCAAATGTAGCATTCTAATAGCCCCCCAAAATCCCCAGTCATAGAGCCTGCTAAGGAGGCTATGTTGTGATGATAGGGAGTTTGTGTGGTCTATGGAGGCTAGGTCCATACAGATGCAACTACAAAGACAACATTTATGAGCACTGCGTGGTATTTTCCTCACCACCAGTGATCTTCAGGTGAAAAATGGACCATTTAGATTTGTTTCCAGTCAAACTGGTCTATAATCGAAGCAAATTACATATGTTGAAAGTCCTATCTCTTTTCAGGAAGATGTTTTTATGCAAACAATGTCCTGATTTGCATAATTTAGGTGTGTCTCCTTTTCTCCTTTCTTGTCAATTTTTCATGTTGGGAAAATTCTAGAGCTTTTAACAGTCTTACACAATATACAAAATAAGAAAAATGTGCAATGATAGCTAATGCATGAAATCATCAATGTCAATAGGGAATGTCATATTAAATACAAGATTTCCTATTCAATCTGTTGTCAAAAGTTTTATTCACTTTGTACCAACTATGAAACTTCCTCCTGGTCTTGGTAAAGAAATGGCAGTTGGTCTATGAGGATTAAGAAAAGTTGTGTGTATGATCCAGTACATGACTTACTCTTGAACAGTTTTATATTCTTGTCCCTTGACAGTGATCTCCTGACCTCAGCCTGGGCTTGTTAACACCAGGGTACAATGGAAGGAGCCATACACTGACGGCCAGTAGATACATCATTTTAATTGGCAGCAGCCATTGCCCTGGGTCTGACATTCTTCAGCCTTGCTTTATCCCCTCTAGGCTCAAGTCAAGGTAAAAACTTTACTGGAATTTTTCAGTGTTGTCCAACTTTGGACTCTTTGCTACATGTGAATGTACTTTTTCAATGTTGTTCACACTTTTATTGCCTTAGGTTTTGGTGATTGATTGCATACCAACTCTTGTATCCATCTTTGTGTTTCTGATGTGTGTGTTCCTTCCCAATGAATTGTCATGTTTTTGAGGAGAGTTTTTTAGAAACATCCTGCTTCTTGCCCAATTCTCAATAAATAAATATTAATAAAATACAATAAACAAATAACTTTTACACCAACTTTTTGAGGGGTATGATCTATGGTGGGCATAGTATGGTGGGTCTGTTTGTAAGACAAAGATAACCCAAGAAGTGGCAAATGCATGGATCCTTATTTATATTTTGGATGCCCCAGGCTCAAGGTGTCTCAGACATGCTCCCAAGCAAGCTCAGTGATTGTCACTCACCTGCAGGCTTGCCAGCAGAGGTTTGCCAACGCATGCAAACCATTTGTAACATGAAGGTCAGATCATGCAAGCCATGGCAGCCTTCATGTTAGACCAGCCCATTGTTACCACTGAGGATTTCTGCCCTATAGGCCCACTTTTGGTGATTTTCTTAATTGACAGGAATTGTCAATGGATTTAGTGGAGGAAAGCTGAAACCTACACTTCCATTTTCATGTTAAGCTTATAGCCTGGCTAAACGGTTACACCGTTCCAACATCCCAGGAACCTATTTCTGACAACCCTAGCCCTATGTGGGTATGTCAGAACATAGGGGTGTTGGAACATAGGGAACATAGGGGTTTCCCTCACTAGGCTTCTGGCAGCCCTCCCACTGGTTAGGCCACTGCAGAGACTCCATACAGCCCAGGAGAGTGAGAGTTTGTGTTACACCAAGGACACCATATAATTATAATGACCTTGGTTACACAGAATTACGGAAATAAAATAGTGTGGTACCTTTATGAAGTGAAGGGTGTTGGGTAAATTCAAGAATAGAGGAAGTACAAGAAAAGTAGTGAGCAAAAACAGTATTTTTCCCTTTCTGGTGTATATTGTGTTTTGGGAGAGAAGTATTAACATAGATTTTAGCGATATGCCTGAGAACTTGGGATTTATCTAGGTAGCATCAATGGTAAGTTAACAATATGCTCAAAGCTAATTGCTTTGAATGGAGTTTAAAGTTGACAGCAAAACTCCGTCCATACAAACAATATACAGTTTCATGACCAATGGACTGTTAGGATCATAGAACAGTGATCACAGTCTTTTTCACTTCGATACAGCTACATTTGTAAATGTAGTGCAACAATACCAACTTTCACCACAGGTACTGTTTGTCCTTCCCATGGTCTCCCAGGCATCACGTCAGGACTTTTCCAAAGGCAAGAGAAATTTTACAGATCATTGTGACATTTTCAACTTTACACATCACTGTGTTTCCTATAAAATTACTCGGAAACATGTTTCTTTCTGACAGATGGAAATGTTAGCATTTACGGCCATGAATTCTTCACGGTTCGGTCTCCTACCCCGTCTAGGCAGCCACGGAACCTGTAATTTTTGATCAAGGAGAATAGATGTATTTGGACAGAAATAATTT